GATCCGCTTTCTTTCTTCATGTACACCACGGAATCGAGGAGCGGTTTGTGGAAGACCCCGGCATATCGCGACGATGAATCTGTACGGCAACCGCTCTTTCACGCTTCCACAGCTCCTACGTAGCCCCTATGTATGCTTTATTACTTCAACGCCGAGTAATAAAGTTGTATTACCAATTAGCGTAATGCGGTGCGTTAAAGTAGCAGCGTATCGTCATTAGCGTCGTTACGATACATCATTCATCCATTTTATTAAAGAGGGGATGTAACGAACCGTCGGGGCATTATTTTTCCCAAACTCATGGAATCAGCTCCAGTCGAAGAATTACTTGCTTCTCATATTCCTCATGTGTTTCAACCTGCGCCGGAATTTCAGGACATACGAAGGTAGTGGAGACAATATGAAGGTAGAACGTGCTCCTGGAAAACGGAAAAAAAATTTCCACTCAGGGGAATTGCCGATCCTAAAATTTCCAGTCGATTCTCATAGAATATTTTTTTCCAAATTTTTCAAAAATTTCGGGAAAACTTTTTTTATGAAACAAAAAAAATCGGAAAACAAAATTTTGTCTTTGGGAAAGGTTTTGAAGAATTTTTCAAAAATTTGAATAGGAAATTTTTTTTTTAATTTAGATGGCGTATTTTTTGAGAATATTTAAAGATTAAAAAAGCAAGAAAAAAACAATAGTAGAATTAAAAGAAACAATTATATTCCCAAAAATACAATTGTTTTGTTGTCCGATTTTTTTTTGCTTCAAAAAAAAAATTATCCGAAAAGTTTTCCAGAAATATTTAAAAATTTGGAAAAAATATTCCGATTACAATTTTTTTTTGGTCGGGCTCTTAGATTATTGCATTAACATCATGGAATAATGCGATTATCCTATTGCACGATTTTACTATTTGAGTATATTATTTCCCTTATTTTTTATTTCTTGAGATAATTAGGGATGTAATTTTTTGGATGAAGAAAGATGGTGGAGAATGCAGAAGACGAAGAAGCCATGCACTTGTTTAATTCATCGGAATTCAATCAACCAAACGGAAGACGCTGTCTCGCGAGAAAACGAGGATGTCTCTGGAGTTTGGCAGGCGACGATTTTAATTGATGGACAATGCCACAAGAGGGGTTGCACAGGGTGGTCCAGGCCAGAGACAAATAAGCGAATGTGAGTTTGCAGGGGTTTCGTAATTAATGGGTAGTTTGGCGGTCGGCTGGACAGCTGTCCCCGCTTTTTTTTTTTTCTCGTCCACGAAGAAACCGAGATGGAATGAAATCGTACCAAGAGCATGTCGTATGGCAGAAAAATCCGGGAGTATATCGTAGACGCGGAAAACGCGAGAACGATCGAAATTTCGCCAACGGGTGGACTAAGACGAATAGTCTGACACCACGGGGACAAGATCAATTGAATTTCTATTTGAGCGCCGTTGCACCCAGACATGTCAATTTGGCATTATCCGACAATAGTCGCTCCTCTCGCGTATAGTAACCGATGATAATTATTACGCTAATGATTATTAAGCGGCGGTAGAAGTGCGGAAGCGCTAATTTCCCGGCGGAAACGTCGAATTTAAAAAATTCGATATGAAAAACCCGTGGCAAATGACGTAATTACATTAATTCCCGGTGAAATTCTTTTAGTTCTCGATGCAAATGAAAGGGTGCGCCTAATTGTTCCGACAGGTAAGACAGCTCGTGTTGATTAATTACTCCCAAAGTGGAGGTACGACTAATTAACGGGCGTGTACGCCGTGTTTTGCGAGAGGTGCGGGACAAACTGATGGACAGAGTCATATTAACCGTTCACTAGCTCATGATTGAGTGATTTCCTGTTGATTTGTAGTTTTTAAATAATTGCCTGATTACTACTCACAATGTAAGCGCAATTATCATTTCGCTGGGCTTTGTCTCTCGTCGACCCTCATTCAGCTGCCAACAAGAGTAAACAAACGTCAATAACTGATTATTTATTATCTCGAGTGAACTTCCGTCTGCATGAATTATGAACTTTAATTCTCCGTATTTGCGGTGTTGGAGGAAAAAATCACGGCTGTCTATTTATGATTAAATTTTTTTTTTGCATTTTACGGATTCATTTCATCGTCTATCATTTTTTTTTGTTTATTATTAATCAATCCTGAATTATGTTGGGACTTAATTAATTCATAGTATCAAAATGGTTCTAAGAATTTTCATTTTTATTAAGAAAAAAATTAATAAAAAATGAACGAGTGAATCAAATTTCAATTGACAAGAGATTCAGCTCCATTAATTTATTTATTTATTTCAAAAGAATTGTTCCATTTCTTTTAAAAAATTTTTACAGGTGCATAAAAATTACTTGTTTAAACTTTTTAATTCATATTAAGTCGAATTAACACGAGAAACCCTCAAGTTTATTTTGTACGATTATAATGCTTCCATTCGGATGAAAAAATAATATCTCGTTGGTCTCCGATGTAAACGTGTTCCTGGGATTTAATTTATCGTTAGGGTCGTTGGGGTGCGCGCGGGGTCGTTCAATGTATCATTAGGCTGTTATTGCGATCAATTTACTTTGAGTTCAGGTATACATGGAATTTTTTTTTTTCTCCCCACGTGGGTTCGGGGATTGTATTCGGGATATGCAACGCGGGACATCAGGTCGCACGAGAAATACCCGCTGTGGCGCGCGCGTAGGTGAGCCATCCTTGGCTTCATTCACGTCAGACACTGGGACCACGTCATTTATCTGGCTGCCTCGATCCAGCTAACGATGCATTTGCTTTGGAATTCACTCGACGAGTTGTTCCTCGTCGTTCAAATTCTCGGTGGAGATATTGAAAAGCCGAATCAATGCGCATTGTCCAGAAAACAATTTGTGGCTTTCTGATCGGCCCCTCCGGAAAATCCATTTTTTAACTTTGAGGGTTAATTGAAATGAATTTATGATTGCTATCATCGATTATGACGTTATGGAGATGATTGATTGAAGCTTTATGGTGAAAGAGTTTGAGAATGGGGATTGATGATGAGGAATTAATGGAATATCAAAAAAAATTAATTCAAGATTTCAGTTACGGCTTCACATATGACTATATTTGTCTTTTGTAAAATTTATAAATTACTTTAATTAAGTAATTTGCTTCTGTAATTGGTGGTGGAGAGTACTTACCGAGTGCTGCCTAAATAAATTAATGAACTTTTATTTTTAATTACCATCGAAACACCAGTTGTACACGCGTGGTAAGTGCGAGTGCCACACACAATGTCGCAGAAGTCTGATTGACCCTCGTGCACGCAAAAGTCTCATTAACTTTTAGCGAGAAATAAAAAAAAAAAATGGCTCGAGTTTACCTGCAACTTCTGCTAATCTTGTCACAGCATCTTATCTCCATCAGCGAAATCACAAGTGGAAAATAATTAATTAGATAAATAAGACGATAAATATTGAGATAAATGTTCATCCTCGGGTTCAACGCAAATCGCTTTCTCTCAACGGTTTATCTATTCTCATTGTTGCCTCGTCGGTTGAATCGAGGGTGGATATTCCAGTATTTGCGGTACAAGAGGGGGCACTCAGTGTGCCAGCGAGGAACCGTAACATCGTTTATCATCCCAAGAACAGTCAATCCATCGCATTGATACGACAACGATCCCCCACAGACGCTCGTACCGTTATCCCGTGCATTGTTGATCCGAATATATTTAATTCATCTTTCTTTGTCTAATGATTTTTCGTTTTACCATCAATAGAATGGACAATTCCGCAACGAAATGAAATCTCGAAAAAAAAGGTCTGAATAAAATAAATAAGAGTACCGAAAAAATTTTTTTAAATTGAAATATGCACAAGATGGCTTCAAAAAATTGTTCAGATCCTGGGAGCAGGATAAAATTCATTGGGAGAGATTTGAAGTTGAGGGAGAATTTTAATGAGTATTTGAAAACGCGAGGTGGACGCGTCGCCATGTGTGAAACCCTTCGCAAGATGGCGGCGCTCGCCATTGTCGATCGTCATGTATTTCTTAATGATGATTATTATTGTTTGGTTATCAGGATTTAATTCTCGTTCGCTTCGTGTTTTTTGTTTGAAAGGAAAGAATTTTCTGAGACGTTCTAGAGAATTTTCTATTACTTATCGCTGAGAATTAATGACCCGCTCTTTCTTTAATCACCCACGATCATAGCGACGACATATTTGCTGAAAATAAACTGTGGGCGGTCAGTAATAATCCTTTCGAAGTACTCTCAAGGGATTGGAGTCATCTCATGCGCCAAAATACTCTGGGGAAATATCAACAAACATTAAAATCCCTTCACGCCTATTCAAATATCACTTTTCGACTAATTTGCATCAATGTTTACCCGATGGGTGCTAATCTCAGTGCCCGATCCCTCGGGAGGACACGGATTCCTATTGTCCCTCGACTCAAGTACCTGAAGATGACCTGGGGATTATCCTTTATTTAAACCTCGGACACCGAAGGTCTTCCCCCACGCGCAACTCGACCCCTCGCATAAAACATCCCCGACAGTTTTATTTTTCTGCTGCATGAAATTTACGTGAAATTTTTTTTTCTCAACTGCAGACAACTTTATTCAATCAGACAGTAGTCGAGACTGGGGCGCAGTGGGGGGGCGAGAAAAACGGTTGACGCTTTACTTCTGAGTGGAACGACAACGTGAACGTGTCGAAGAATTCGTGATGAGATGGCAGTGCAGAAGGTCAGAGTCGTACGTCAATATGCGGAATTTCAGGTTGAGGATTTGTGATTCTAAATTAGGAGGCCGATGGACATGAATGCGGAGTGGTCCTCGGGGTTTATTCAACGATGTCTCAGCACTTTTTGCGCCCCGCCCAAGGAACGCCCGGTTTTCTCTGTGCGGAGAGTCATTGCATAAGTATTCTGCATGGAGGGCTCAATTAATTGGAGAATTGCGAAATGTAATATTTTATCTGCAATCAAAAGTGGGTAAATCAATTTTTTATTAAAGTCACTTTCCACCGCCAAAAATCCTAGACCGAAAAAAATCAATATTTATTTATCTTTTATTCCACAACCAAGGAATGTTTATTTAAAAATACAAATGTACAAACTCCGTAACCAGATTATCAACGAAATTTTAAAGAACCGAAAATTCAGCGCAACCTAGTCATAGGTTTCCATATTTTCTTTGACCCAATCGATGAACGTCCAAACTCTGGTGAAGACGTCAGGATATCCCCGAGCACAGGGATACCCGAAGGACACGAGACCGACGAGAACTCCGTCAGAGGTCAAGGGTCCACCAGAGTCACCCTGCGGGATAAAATCATCAGAACCATTCCCCCATCTGCAAAATAAATCTCAAAATTAAACTCACGTGACATGCGCCCTCTCCGATCTTCGTAAAAGTGCAGATGTGATCCTGCGTGAGCATGCTGTGCTGGGCCTTGCATACATTCTGGTCGATGATGATGAGGTCCAGCTCCTGGAGTTTGTCAGGTAATGGACTACCGAGTCTAGTGGAGCCCCAGCCACTGATGACCGCAGGGTAATCCACTTTCTTGAAATCACCAGATGGCAGGGAAATTGGCGCGACTCTTTCATCGAACCTCATCTTCTGGACGAGTCGCAATAGCCCGATGTCATTGGAGAATTTTGAGGGGTTGTAGTTCCTGTTGGGGATCACCAGGTCCACTTTGTATCGTGTGCCACCCCTGGAGAGTGTATTCGTGCCGACGACAACTACAATCGACGACGCAGATTTTCTGGAATCATATAACCAAATATTATAATAATCCTGAAAGAAAATATTACTAACAAGTCTGCGATGGACCAGTGGATAAATTCAAAGCGTAAGATATTTTCCAAGATTTCCCAATTCTCAAAGAAAATAATGTTAAATAATTTTAATAATTATTTACAAATATATAGACAGTCTGCATCAGCTAATGGCTTCTTACTTTTCTTTTTTTCTCAAAATCATTCTGTTATTTTTAAATAAAATTCATTCATGTTGTCATTTTTATCCAGATTTTTTTTTGACTTACGATACGATACAGTGGGCAGCGGTCAGTACCCAGTGTTCGTCAATGACAACACCGCCACAAAAATGAGAGCCAAGACGAGATCTCAGTGAAGCCTGATATGGATGAGAGCCTTCTGGAGCATCTCGGCCACCAACAACTCTCGCAATTTCTCGACCTTAATAAAAAAAAAGGAGCAACCTCGTTAATTAATGATAACTCCTTATCGGCGGTACTCACTAGAAACGGTCAGGACGAGCGTCAGGAGGATCGTTGTGGTGATGAGCTGCATCTTGACTCTATTCGTCTAACGATTTTTATTTCAACCGTCGGCTTTTATACGTAATATTCAATCTAGTGTGCGCTGATAATGTCATGGCGATCTGATTGATAGAAATTTCGGAGATGGCATCGCGAATATTTCGCACGTTCATCGGATGCTCGATTGATTTCTCATGATTCTTTGCCGATTAACCAAGAGTAATAACCGATTTCGATATTTATTGCGCTTCACTCCATTTTCTTTGTTGACGATTTCTGATTATAGATCCATCTCGTCATCAGGTCATTCTCGATTGAATGAATCATTTCTTCACTCGGCTGAAAAAAAACTGTAATCGGAACATTTTTTGCAAATTTTGAAAATTTTCGGGAAAACTTTTCAGAATTTTTTTTTATGAAACAAAAAAAATTGGTAAACAAAACAATTTTATTTTTGAGAAAGGTTTTGAAATTTCAAAAAAATTTTTAAAAAATTTTAAAATTCTAGAAAATGATTAAAAAAAAATTCGGATACAAATTTTTGAAAAATTTATCAAAATATTTCCCAAACAAAAAATTATTCTGTTTCTCGATTTTTTTTCTGTTTGAAAAGAAAAATTTTCCGAAAAGTTTTCCCGAGATATTTTCAAAATTTCGAAAAAATATTCCGATTACAATTTTTACCCAGGCAGTCTAATTCCGTGATCATTTCAAATTTAATTAATCCATAAAATAATGAAGTGATAGTAAAAAAAGTTTATTAACTAATTGAATCGATTTATTGTCTGCGTAATGGGAAAAGGGGGAAAATTGGAAAGACTGAATTGTTTGCTGAATTTTTTTTTCGTCCAATTAAACCTAAAATCTCGGAAGCATTCGAAAAAGTGGACACCCGGCCATTGAAGTCCGACTGTATTCTCCAAACAAAATATAAATCAATCGGACAATAATAGTAGCCTAACCGTCTGGTCTATCCCGATATTCCCAATTTTCCCAAATGGTAGCAAACGCCGCCCCCTACGGTACACCGTACTCCCTTTTTTCACCCCTGCGAGCAGAAAATAGAGGTACACACGGGTCACATATGTCGATTCCATTCCCCAAATAATTCCAAGGCTCAAGGATTCATCACCGAGACTAATCGAAAATCGCAACTCCCCAGAAGCCAAAGTCTTCACATCTCCAAGTGACCTTCACCCAGATTCAAAAGCACCACCGAACATCACCCAGAAGTTTTTTCTGAATGTGAGTGTTCTCTGTCACAGGAAGCCGTGGAATCTCGGGGAAAATATTTTCGTCAGTAAAAAAAAGGTCGAACGAATCGTGAAATTGGCGACGGCATTTTGTCACCGAAACGAGTGCCACCACTTCTTCAGGGGTGAAAGTTTACGACTCATTGTGCACCAGAGTCCTCAAGACCTACCTGAAACATCAATAATTTTGTTTACTGGACGAGAGGTGAAATAAAAATTAATAACAGCTAGCGCGTGGCCTCGCGTGTACTCTAGTACCCAGAGGTAGAGCCATAAAATATCGACTGAAAATACCGAGGGGTTCCAGGTATTGTCCGGGGAAATTTGTGTCTTCATTCCGGATGCCCTGCAAAGACCAGAATTATCCTGTTTACTCGAGGAATAAAGGAACCTAAGCCAAAACGCCAGTTTCCAAATAAACAACGAGCAGAAAGAATTTCTCCGTTTTTCAAATTTCGCGTGCCATCAGCAGAACATTCACGCATTCTTTTTTTAACTCTCATACGATTATCTCCCCAACGAAATGAAGTCAGTAGGGAAAATCATTTGCGTTATTCACTGACAATTCCTTGGATCCATTCCCCCCAGTCTCCTGCAGTCCCCACAAGGATCTCCCTACCAGATTATTATTTATTATCGCTGACAGGCAACCCCACAGTGTCCGAATGCCTCTGATATTATACAACTCCGTGCGAAAGAGTCACTGTAATGCATGTGTATGTCTGCAATTTACTTTCTTTTTTTCCCTCGTGTATAGATTTTTTTTTTTCCATGGCTCTCGTGTTCGGTGCATTTGTGTAGCACGAGCCCTGGACACGGGCAAAAGCGTGTGCTTACAGTATCATCATCAATCACTTTTCTGTAGTTGCCTGCCCCAACTATTTATGTTGGCTTGTGGCTCACGCTGCGGCCTATCGCCGTCTTGGCCGGTTAACGATAATTGTTTTAAGACGATTTCTCCACCCCCATCATCACTATTTGTTGACACCATTAAAAATCCCGTTTCAATCACCAATTCTTCGTCATGGAAGCTATTATTTATAATTCGATACCCTGACCAGTTCCATTTTTCAGTTAAATGATTTTTTCATCACCTAATTATACCCCGGCCATCCCCAAATAATCAACGTTCATGTATCTCAATCACCGGATGAACCAAAAAATATATCTCGTCGTCGAAATATCTCGTTTTTCATCGTTTCAGTTTTTCCTTCTTCCGCCACTCTAGCGACACATGACAATGCGACGAAAAGTGGGATTAATGAAAATACGAAGTCCCGCTAAATGTACACGCACACACAAGCCGTTGAATAAGGTGAGGGAGAGGGCATCTAGGCTTCCAGAAAGGAGGGGTTGATTAATCGACGCCAGTCCGGGGTTTTAGAGAGAGACGTCACCAGCAAGACCCGGGCGTCTAGATTCTATACTCCGGGGCACCTAGCTTTGTTTACCTTGTTCACCAGCCCGAAATATCTTTCGTACTTCCACCAGTTTCTGATATCACTCGACTCACCACTCGAGATCTTGCGTAACAAACGTTTTTCCAGGTTGTTGACTCCTTGAGAAATGATTTGATTTTTAAAAACTACAAAAATACCCAGAACTAATGAACTAATGATAATATTTTCATAGCAATGTCATGGATTGATTGGGCCGGAAGACAAAACTGACGATTCAATTCCGAGTAATATTTTCCACCCATCAATGTTGAAGAAATAGATGGGGAGTATATCCAGACGGTATTCCATTCAATCAGATTAATAGTGGGAGGGGACGAGATTTCACATACGCTCGGACGATCGGGGGTGTTTCGTTGTATTCATTCAGCAGGAAAAGGGCAGCTGATAGGGGCACCCCCGACGCGAGACCTGGCACAAGTAACCAAGGGGGTTTCACCCCCCTCTCCCACCGATCCTCGTTGGGTTGCAATAAACTCGGTGAAAGTTTGAGGGACCCATTGGCACGCGCAACCCCCGTAGTTCCCCAATACAGTGGGCCCCCCCTCTAAACGGACCAACGAAAATCGTCAACCCGAGGTACACAAATCATTTCGCTTCCATTGTACCCCCTCGGTACTCGGGCTAGGTTCATGCCAGGGGTCTGCTCTCAGAACGTCACCGGCGTGCGACCGGTCATCACTGATTTCAGAAGCAAGGCCAGAAGAAATAATCCAAAAGTGCATCAATAGTTGAGTGTAGTGTGACAGTGCGTGTGTCTCATCAGGGAAGATGACGAGTTCGGCTTATTACTCGAACAGTGATTACTGGGGTTATCATCCGGTCAGTGAACTCCGTCCGGATCACTCCATGTACCCGACCTCAACGTGTCACCAGGTTCCCCAGTCCCATCCCCAGAGTTATCTAAGTGATGGGCCTGTTAGTAATAATCCGCCGTTGAGCCTTCTGGAGACGGTCCTTCGTCATGGGAAGGAGGCTATCAGCGCTAGCTATCCGAGACGCAGCCCAGTGTTGTCATCCTCGCAAACCCCTTCGTTCCGGCCGTCGCAATCACCCCCAAGTGTCCTGGAGTCTCTCCTGCAGAAGCCCGTGGAAGCCATCAACGAGAGCTACCCGAATCCGTCAGGAAATCCAAGTCCCAGTCATCCTAGCTCCTCCCAAATCCCGTGTCATACTCCTCCGTACACGCCGTCTTCCTCCTCCGATCGAAATTCACCGATGAGTGGAGTGATGATCGACTCTTCCTCGCAGGAGAGGTACCCCAGGTCAGCAGAATACACTGGAATCAATTATGCGCAGTACCAAGCTTACGCCTCGCAGACAAGGGCTCTTGAAAATCCAGCATCTCAGGTCAATCCAGCTTCGCCCCCCTACGAGGTACATCCTGGGTACTCAACATACGTAAATAATAATAATGGAAAAGCCAGTCCGACTGGCTCGTGCGACTACGAGGATCCTCACCAAAAAATGGGTGACTATGCCTGGATGAAGTCAACTTATACCTCCGGTGAGTCACTGTTCTCGGAAAGCATTCTTCAGTTATGTTTAAATATCTCTAATCATTATTTAATTGTCACGATAGGATCTCGATAATTGATGATGCGCTTGCTCTATCATTTTTCTTCTGACGTTAATAAAAAATTCTTTGAAGGACTTGAAGATACACTCACCTCCAGCATTCCGCTGATGTTGTATTAACGAGTCATTTGTTTTCAGCAGACGTCAATGGAGTGGGACAGAAGCGAACGAGACAAACCTACAGCCGTCAACAGACACTCGAGCTGGAGAAAGAGTTCCACTACAACAAGTATCTGACGAGAAAGAGGAGAGTCGAGATAGCGGGGACGCTGCAGCTGACGGAGAGGCAGATCAAAATTTGGTTCCAGAACAGGAGGATGAAGGCGAAGAAAGATGGTAAGCTTGGAGGCTTTAGTCTCGATGGAGTGGAGGATGTTGGGGGTGGACAAGCCGAGTCCATGATGATGGCATCACCCAATACAATGGCTCATCACCTGGCGACAAGTTCACTGGAGCAACCCAGCAGTCTTCATCAGCAGCAACAGCAGCAGCAGTTGCATGCTGCTTACCTCAGCTATCAGCAGCACCAGGGGCATTTATACTCCAATCAGGAGTATGGACATCATCAGATGCAGGGGTATGGGCTTCAGGGGAAGCTGAACCTTGGTGCGGGGTCGTGAGGGGCTGGCCAGAATTCGGAGAGCAGCTGACCGAGGGCAAGGCGCGTGATTTATGATGGGGTAGGCTGAATAGCTCAGGTAACTGCACTCGGCAGTTTGCCGTGGTGTTGGCTTGGCCTGATTTTACGATCTTGGGGACGTTGTACATGCTTTTAGGAATTCTGTATCTGATGCAAGTCATTCCGAAAATATTTTGACAACAAGACGATGGCAATTGCTGGATTTATGAGGGATTGAGATTTTTCGGTGACCTCGGGGTTCAATTACCGGAAGGAAAGGGTCTTCAGGGAATGAAAGAAGAAGACTAGCTTGAAATTTATCATGATATCCTGATTATGATTGGAGGAACTATTTCCAATTTTTGGTGGGATTCAAAGTACGATGATTGCTCGTTCATACGAACCATTCCCGCTGGGTTTAGGGACGGATGAGGGGTGGGGGAAATATTCGTTGCGCAGCTGCGCCGATTTCATAGATTCAAGATGGCCGATGGCCTGTGGCGACGCGGCATTCACTTTGTTCGGTTTTTTTAAAATTATTTTAACAATTGTTTATGTATCGATAATTTCTGATTACCTAATATCTGTACCTGCAATACAACCGATCTAGTGATTTTTGTGTAGTGGATTTTTATTGGAGCAGTGCGGCCTGACATCGAGGGACTTCTGGCGAATAAACTGATTGCGTGCGTCAGTTTGAATCGTGTGGCCAACGATTTTGAACTTGTGGGGTTCTGTATATAGATTATATTTCCACTTTCAGTTAAAAGACAGCTCGTATTTTTTTTCTAATTAGCGATAATTGATGGTGAAGTACAAATTATGTTAGGGGTGAGGGGAATTATTAAGTTTAGTTGCATCAACGTTCAAATTGAATTTTTATCGGAAACATTGAAGCAAGTGCATGAGGGATTTTTTATGAAACGTGGAATTCCCGAGGTACGACTGATATTTATCATATCGACACTAGAATTTAAATGTTCCTATTATTATAATAATATCTGTAAATACTGGGATTTATTTAAAAAAATGAATTAATGAATTCAACTTAATTGAAGAAGAAATGAAAAGAGAAAAAATTTCTCTCATATAAAATACTAGTCCATTCCATGAGGTACAAGAGCTGCGCGCAGTCTAAATATATTATATTTGTGGTATGAAATAAATTATAAATGAAATGGTCGGATCTATTTTGCATTGAGAATTCCCTCCCTATTCCTTTTCACATCCGGATCGGTGGAAAAATTAATGGACTGGCTGGATCCGGTTTTTACGCAAATACGAGTGCGAGTGGACCCGTGGGGTGCCGCATGGGGTGGCCTGGATGTTTCCACGATGTTTGAGTGATAGGTGAGGGACGGGAAAACGTGTGTGAACACTTCAACTAGCGGTAAGATATGGACATATCCTGATATAGACGAAAACCCGACAAATGAAAGACTTGGGAGAGCGACAACGGCGCCGGAGTACCAGAAACGTTGAAACTGAGGGTCGATATTGCACTTGACAGATAGTTTCCCATTGCTCTGGCTATCCATCATGGCCGTGGAGACGTATTGGTTTTCCCTTTGCGTCTTACCTCTTGAATTTTACAAATTGAATTGCATTTTTACAATTACACAATTAAAAATTCAAGCTGCAAAGCCTTGATCAAATATCCGAAAACCAGATCCTCACATTTTCTTCGAAATATTATTATGCATTTAATTGTTAGGTGTTGTTGAATCTTCTCGATCTTCTTTAATATCCTGGGTAACAAAAATTGTCATCGAAATATTTTTTCCAAATTTTTTAGAAATTTTTTTTATGAAACAAAAAAATGGGAAATTTTTTTTTTTGGAAAGGATTTGAATAATTTTTAAAAAATTTGAATTTTAATATTGAAAAATCGAAGAGATAAGAAAACAACAGTATAATTAAAAGAAAACATTATATTCGCAAAAATTAATAGAAAATTAAAAAAAAAAATTTCGAAACAAATTTTTGAAAAATTTTCGGAGAAGTTTTCCAGACGTTTTTGAAAATTTGAAAAAAACATTTCGATTACATTTTTTTTTTATCCGGGAATGTAATGGAAAGAGGATTTTTTGGGGGGATATCTGGAATTAATATCGAGCAGGGGCTCCTCTCGATTTAAAATCGTTCACCCCGAGCCAATCTATTAGCAGACACTTTATTCCAAGCATCGAGATAATTTTTCAAGAGCTGTCGCTGTGAGGTTACAACCTAAAACACCTCCCCGTGCTATCCCTTATCATTCAACACTGACAGACACTCGTCTCCGTCGTTCCCTCGCCCTCGGTGAAAATAAAGAATAATTTTTAATTGAAAAATGAAAATTTTCGTGGTGGTACGGTACAGAATTTCCCGATTGTCGGTGACGACTGAATCGCAACGATTCCCATTCATGTCTTCTTGGAGTGGAGGGGCCATACCATTTGTCCAATTCGGCGAAGCGACCCCTGGACTTCCAAGAGGGTAAAACGTATAAATCACCTTGGGTCCGGGTTTGCCTGCAGTTTGCCACGCGACGGAAAGTGAAAGAAGCCTTTAATTTCGACGATAATTACATCGTGAAAACAGGACTCAAACACTTGCCAACAGTCATTCCAAAGCGATCGAAACTTTAGACTCCGTAGAAGCCAGATAAATAAATAAATAAATATTTCATTAAGACATCTGATCATTTGTTTATACTATTTACTCAACATTTAAATACTGAATGAATCCCGTAACACTTGGGGTGAAAAAAAATTGTAATCGGAATATTTTTTCCGAATTTTCAAAGAATTTCGGGAAATTTCTTTTTTGAGAATATTAAAAAATCAAAAAGTAAGAAAACAACAGTATATTCGCAAAGATTTCTAGAAAATTATAAAAAAAAAAGCCGAAAACAAATTTTGAAAAAATTTTCAAAAAAATTCCCAAAAAACAAAATGGTGGGGTTCCCCAATTTTTTCTGTTTCAAAAGAAAACTTTTCGAGAAATGTTTTGAAAATCTGTAAAAAATATTCCGATTACAACTTTTTTATTACCCGCGACCTAATAAATTAACTTTTATAGTTAAATAATTAATCGGCATTGATTTCTGCTTTTTCCATGATTAATTGAAATATTAGAGTAGGAAAATTCACGGAAAAAATGCATGATGTTAAAATGTCGCCGACAAAAGTGAAAATCCGTGCATTTACCCCAATTCCTGGAATAAATTTCGCCGAATGAAGTCATCACGTCAAGAGAATGAGGCACAATAGCCGGAGTAACGATAGAAACACAAATATACATGTGGAGAATACGAGAAACCAGCAAGAAGTCCACATGATTAGCTCGTTTCATCCGTCGCTCTGGGATCGTCTCGTTTCTCCGTGTCACAGCTCTGCGATAGTTCTGCTTCTGTCCCATTAGAATTTCTAATAAAGTCGTCGTGAGGTGTAAAAAACGTATCGATACCTCCATGAATCACTTGTCGCAAGGCAAGTCACCGAACACGTGTATCTTTTATGCTGTAAAAATGTTTATGCACCTCGGATTTTCCCCAATATCGATAAATAATGACTGACTAGAAAAAAGAAACGTACGATAATTAATCGCTAATAATTATTCTTATAATTCCAATAATAATTATAATTCTCATAATTATTCACGAGCGACAGGATATGGTGGAATGATAGAATAAATTATTGAGTGATTAATAATTGAAATTAAATGACACCTCAAATTTGGGGATGAAAATTTTATTCTGAATTTTACTTCAACATTTTATTTTAAGCGATAAGTAATAAAAAACATTTTAATCTACTGAAATATCTAAACAATCAGTGAATAAAATTGATATAATTAATCAAACAAATGAGAATAATAAATAATCGAGTTCTAAAAAAGGTGGGAATGAATGAAAATAAATCCATTGATTAGAATGCCGCGTAAAAATCAAGAGACCCTGAATATGATTACTCCGAAACTAACCCGATAATCACTTGATCAAGAATCCCCGATAATCGGGGTAAAATACTCGTTTGCCCTCACCTCAGCCTGCAATCACCCCTTCCAGTCGTCCAAGAAAAGGAGAGACGATGAGAGGCTGAAGAAAACCGCTGGGAATTGTGGAACGACTAGAAGAGACAGTGGATATTCTTTCCCTACTTCTTCAGGAGTGCGTCTCCGAGGTCCGTTGCACCAGTGGTGGGGATAGAAGGGATCAGCCGTGATGGAGGGGGAACCTGGGGGGCGGTCGCGCGCTTCAATTCAACGGGAACAACGGCCACATCTGGTGAGCAACTGCAGCAACTATCCTCTTATTTCATTCCCCCAATCTCACCCTCCGAAATTATGACAAAAAATCACAAGACGTTCCTTTGATCCCCAAATCGCTCCTAGCATCTCGAACATCCAAAAAATTCTGCATTCCCCCAAACCAGTGCGATCCATTAAAGAAAAAAATGTTAAAAAACAAAAAAAAAGTCACAGAAGTGGAAAATAAATTTTTCAAATGCGTGCGGTAAAAATATATTGTTTAGATCGACGTTATCTGTGGTATCATCGGTATCAATGGAATACCTCAGCGATTATTTCCGAGCCCCGCCCCCTTGACCGCCTCCCCCTTTTCCGTCGCCTCCGCCTCTTTGCACCACAGCTGATACCCTCCGTCCTCCTTCCGCATCAATAAAACACTTCACCGAAAAATCATGATCACCTCTCCCAAACAATCTCCCCCTCCTCCCCCTTCCCCGAAAATCCCTCACTCGACTCGGGGCAACAGGTTTGAATTTATGGGACAATGAAGAGTGCTACGCGTAGCTTCGCCCCATCTCCCTCACTCATTCGCGATCTTGCGGGATCGCACGTAGTTGCGCCCAAGAGGCTATCAAACTCTCATAAAACTGTCAACCGCGGCGGCCTGCCGTTGACTTATGTGAGTCCCTTTTCTTTCCTCCTTCATCCCACAGCGGCTGTCTCTGATCCTCTGAATGTTCAACCTGCCAGATCGGCATGATCTGCCCCAACGACACAAGCTGATGCACCTAATAAAATTATGAAAAATCTAAAAAACGTCACTCCGTTGCTGTCCTCAGAGGACCATCCACGGAGCGCGCGCGCGCCTCTCCAGGCGACGGAGAACTGCATGTTCCTGACACATCCTCTCCTAAAACAGTGAGAAAGACGAAGACGATGGGTACCCCCTCCCCACAAAGCCGATACTCACAAGCTCCCGAATATCTCTCCATTAGTCCCCCTGGCGGGCCTAGTCCTCTCGTCCTCTCGTCCTCTCGTCCTCTCGTCCTCTCGTCCTCTCGTCCTCTCGTCCTCTCGTCCACTCGTTCTTTCGTTCTCTCATCTTCTCGTTCTCCCATCCTCTCGTCCTCTCATCCTCTCATCCCCTTCCACCCCAGGTCAGTCTATCCTCCTCTAGTCTCTCCTCCCCCTCCCCAAACCCACAGCCCTTGTCGAAGGGAACGGGGTTGAAGAATTTCTTCGTTTATACCCACGAAAAAGCCCCAGTGGTGCGGCGGTGGCGGCGCGCCTGCAACGGAGAGAGAAACAGTTGTATCCCGAGCCCGAGGAGAAACCGAGAAAGAGACCAATCAAGGTTTGACGAACGACGGGGATTGGTCGGTTCTCCTGACACGCAGCGCGGGCACGTGACAGCTACCGCACCGGCTACGAGGATCGCGGTGGTTCAGTACGATACCACCTCCCTCCGCGTACGCAGCACACACGGGGCTTCGTGTTTCTTAAAGCTTTCTCCCCCCCTCCCTCCTCCCCCAGTAATCTAACAGGCACAACTTGAAGAGAGTGCACATTTGTTGGTTGTACACCGTACCGAGTGGTATCCGTCGTACATTCGTCGGAGATTATCCCATTTTTTCTTTCTAACCTGCGTTAATTCCTGATTCGTTTACCAAAAACGATTCGCTGCGAAGTGATTACTACATTTTTTTAATTAAAAATAAAAAAAATGAAGAGAAAGTGCTAATTGTTTTATTACTGTGATCTGAAAAAAAAAACGGTGGGTGATTATTCGCTGGATAAATGAATGGTAAATAAAGTAAAGAGAACTAATGTCCGAGTGATGACTTGAGTGTTCCTCAATGGGACAGGGCCCGTGCTCACAGGCAGTAGCAACAACGTGTCGGGTCCCCGGTGTTCCCCGTGGGTAATTGCGCCGGGTAAGGTCGTAAAGAAACGGAAGACAGTTTTATAGCTGTTTCTTTCCCCACTTGTAACCCACGTGGCGCTCGTAAAGTAACTTCTCCCGACTTCTCGCGGGTTCGGCCTGCCTCTCTATTAGTCGACGGGACCCTCCTACCCTCGGTCGTTCATTATCGAATCGTTATAACTGCGGTGGGTCTAACGAGGATCGTCAATGTGATTTAATCGGTATTGAATCGCATCAAATTGCCAGTAAATAACAGTCTTGAGATGGATAAACAATTGGTGCGGGGATGATAGAGTGTAGCCTCTGACAAGCTTCTCGAGGTAGATAACAAAATATTGATGATAAAGTGCTGATGTGAATGACCGGACACCTGTGCGCGTCGTGATCAAGAGAATCTCGATAAACAGTAGTTAATGATGAGTTCCTATCAGTTCGTGAATTCGTTGGCATCTTGCTATGCTGGTCAGCAGGCGCAGCAGCAGCAGCAGCAGCCGTCCCGGCCGACGCCGAATTCACCGGGTGAACCACTCCAGGCTGCATCGCCCGCCGGTGGTAATTACTACAATCCAAATGTCGCAGCAGCTGGTTATCCAACCCCATGTTACTCACCCCAGCAGCACTATCCACCGCATCCTTATGCAGCACCAGCAAGTGGAATGCAGCATCAGCCACCAACCGAGATGATCGACTACACCCAACTCCAGCCTCAACCGAGGTTAAATCCATCGACGACGACTCAACACAGCATGCACCAGCAGTCGCATCATCCTCAGCATCATCCCCAGCCTCAGATTCACTCGGTGGATCCAACGAGTCCACTTCTCCAGGGTGCAAGCGCCACGTCAGTACCGTCAACCTCCAGTTGCAAGTACGCGGACTCGACGTCATCGACTGGTGTTTCATCCCCCCAGGATTTGACAACGTCAACATCACGAAATAGTCCAACACCACTGGCTGGCACCAGCAAAGCTGGCCCAGGACTCACATCACCACCCGGTAGCTCATCCAGGTCATCAGTGGCTGCTTCAGCATCATCTCCACCGAGTGGTAGTTCAAGGGTTGGCGAGGGCAGCTCGACGTTGACAACTGCCTCATCCGCCTCGTCACCTGCATCATCAACATCGAGTACCTCCAGCACGGGAAATAATTCATCGAATAAAGGAAATAGCAGCAGTGGAAATCCACCGCAGATTTATCCCTGGATGAAGAGAGTACACATTGGACAGAGTGAGTAGAATATTCTGATTGTCTCTCCCCTGATAAATCCGTCAGCAAGTATTTCGAGATTATTATAATATCACCCTGTTGAAAGATCCGAGCGATAACGCTCCGTGGGAACGAGAATAGTTCACGGATAGACAAGATCATCCAAAAGGTTAAAAACATCTTGTTGCTCTCAAAGCACTCACCCAGATCTTCCCGTTGCCGCTTTCAACTATCCACAATAGCCAATATGATTTCATAGACTCCTCAACCTTTCATCCACCGCTCATTAACGGTATCTCGTTGAATGTTCCCTGAAAGCAATCGCAATCTGCCTAGTAGGTCTTGTTCTTTTGACTCCCGAGACAATAAAATCACCGGACCACCAGCGATTCCAACAATAGGCCATTCCGCTAAAAAGAAAACATTATGCATGACCACGTGTGGTTACCCGCTCTCATCTCCCTCGAAAGCCTCAAAATTCCACGCCGACAATCTTAAAATCGTCTCGAATCACCTACAGTTTAACTTGCATATTGCAAACAAGTCAGCGAGAATCTCGAATAAAGTCATGATGATGATAATATCACGCCCTCGGTGATCCCTTCTCGCTGTGGAATAATGTATGCGAACGAAAACATCGTTCGGTGAGTAAATTTACGGGATGAATATTATAAATACTGGCCCAGGAGGCCCTCGTGAATCGCAATTTGTCGGGTGACCTCGTAAAATTAGTCTCGTCTTCAAAATCCAGGAAGAATGCGAATAAATCACGGGATCGGCCGAAAACCTCTAATTTTTTCGTTTATTTTATTTATCGACGAAATATTTCTAAAGGATCAAAAAAAATTGTTATAATCTTTCTCTATTTATTTTAAATTACATTCCAATTTATAAATTTTGCGATTCGTACCGTCTTCTCATATTTTCTTTTATTAACAAATTATATATATTAAATAATATTTAGTATGAGGGAATTTTGAGAATCCTCAAGAGATTCAAAATATATAAAATATATTTGACGCAGGAGGAACGTAATTTTCATTTTCGAATTTCGTTTCAACAAATAAATTCCTAGAATATGAAAATTTGATGGTCGCCATCTTGTAATGCCACCCGATTACCGATGGCCTAATTACACTTCGACCTTTCGCATCCGAATAAATCTCTCACGATCTCCCGAGTCGTGATGTATTCTGTTTGTATTTCGTAAATCCCAGGAGCAAAAGCCCCGATTATTTTTTCTCCTCTCCCCTGTTTGACTTGAAAACAATCCGGACTGATTCAAAAATACGGAAATATAATGCGCGCGTGTATGAGGTTAAGACGAAGATAATATCATTTGACGCGTTAGCTTGTGAGCTAAATCCACCTGCTTCGGTGGCTCATGTTGAGATAAGAATGATGGGAATGAAAAACCACTGGAATTCCTCAACATTTCGTTGAGAAAATTTTTTCATTCGCGTCCAGTCTACTCGCGCGATCTCAACGCGTGTGTGCGCATTAGTCGCGCTGTGATTTACTGCGCCGGTCCCGCTATGATTCAGTCAGCCGGGAATTTGACGAAGAATTAATGGTATTATGATATCGTGTGTAACTCTATGTGTGTGCAGAGACCACTCATAAATCAGAGACATTGTGAGACATTGTGAGACATTGGGATGAGTGAGGATTTTTGAATCTTTTTTTTTTTGCCGCCTCCTACCTCGTCGTTGCGATACGTCGGAAAAACGATGATTCGGGTGAAGTCTGACCTGCGGAAATAATTCGGGGCCAACTGTTTACGGAAGTCAATGGCGGCCCCATAGCTTCAAGGTCAAAACCATTTCTGACCTTCATTTGACTCAGCGGGATTGACTCCACCCTTCTGATCCCCAAAGTCCCTTTCCAATTCTTTTCCGATTTTTGAGTAATCGCTTTGCTCTGGAAAAAAGGCAAAACTGGAGTACACAAAGAATAAATAATATCTGGACTCGCGAAATAATTCCCATGGACTATTCAAAACTCCAAGGTCACGGTTATTCACAACTCTCGCAATTTGGAATGAATAAAAGAGTGTGAGGGCAGAGGGGAATTTGAAAAATACCCCGGGTTGAGGGAAAAGGGTCTGACGATGTTGACATTGACATATCGCGCGTCTCAAAGTGATGCCCCAGCTCAAACGCACACCGGGTTAAAAAAAAAAATAAAGACTTGCCACTCGAATTACCATTTCATAAACACAAAAAAATAAAAAATAAAAAATAAAATTCTACATCTAAAATTGATTCATACCAGTTTTTTCTAACGCTGATAAAAACCGAGTGGAGTGGCGGTTCGGCTCTGTCTGGAGAGCAGAAGAAGATGTTTCACTCGTGAAAATAAACATCGATTCGGGATAGAATGGAAATTAAACATTGTAAGAACTTTTGAGAATGAGACGAGACGTCGCGATGAGAAACGAGTCTATTTTTAGGTGGAGGGCTGGGGAAGGAAAACGGGAGCGATAATCTGACGAGCAGTTACATATCTCTGGTATTTATTCGGAATGATCTACGCGTGAATTTTCATCGGTTATTATTTTATCATTTATCATTTCTCATCGATCCACCCATCACCACTAAAATTCGCATGTCCCCCCAACACACCGTAGACTTCCGCTGATAAATCTCCCTAAATTACAGTACAAAGTCCACAAATACAATAACATTAAATAAGTATTAAAAAACATATTGAAAATACCGTGGAATTATAAAAGCAGAAATTTATTTAATGAAACAGGAGATAAAATGATATCGACGGGAAATACGACTCGATGAAGAAACAAGACAATTGCGATAATAATAATTTAAGAGAAGGAAAAATGAATGAATGAATTAATTAATCAATCATGTGAAAGCATTACCATACAGAATGTAATCGCGGAATTAAAATACGTAACACTACTCCCTCCTTAAAAAAAATAATCGTTTTGACAACAAAACAAATTTGTAAGAGCAATGGAAATATCGAAATTTTTAATATATTCTCTTGAAAATGGAGACGGAAAATAGAAAAGAGATTGGGGTTTGCAATAATTAGATGTCTCATGTGACAGACTAAATCAGGAAATGGAAGTAGGTGTATCAGTGTTTGTGATAATATAATAAATATTTTTTAGAATAGTCTGTCGATGAAATTCATGTCTGCTGGACTCACGTTCAGAAGCCGATGATAAACCGGAAGATAGCTCTTCCCCCTGCTAGTGTGGGGGCATCGCAATTACCAACCTGATCATTTCGCCATAAATAAAGGTTTCGAACCGTGTCCAGCGGTGCTTCGTACCCAAAGAAACCCTCTTCCAATGTTGGGACCATTATGGTTGAGGTCTACAGCCTTTTCTCTCCTTCGGTGTGCAATTCACGAGATACGAATCATTTGAAAGTAACTCGGCAACGGTTACAGTTCAAACTTATGCCAAAACGGGTTTGTCTTTTGTGTTGGATCATTTTTCGTAACTATTTTTGGCCTTAAAAAAAAATAACTTGTTAAATAATCATAAATATCAGGATAATCATTTTTTTTCGAATTATTAAATTAAAATTTTGTTATTATTATACAAATAATTAACTTCAAGCCAAATTTTTTTTTTATTAATTATATGTGTTTATTTAAATATTTATTATTACATTGCATTGAAATTTTGAAATTCGAAAAAAAATCAGACAATTGTAATGAATGAATTTCAATAATTTTTAAAAATTTGAAAATTAATATAACGAGCTGTTCTAAATTTCGAAATTCCTTATATTTAACAGAATACATGAATAAATAAATTCACATAAACAATTTGACGAAATGATAAAACATGGAGGCCGCGCCCCTGACTGCAGCTCATAAAACGAATGACACGAATATAAAAAAAAAAATGGCTACTCCATTGAGCTGCACACTCCACTCGAAAATTATGATATCCCCTTCAATATTTATGAACAACTAATTATCCAAACCGATTAAAATCAGCATAGAAAACGGTTACCCCCACTCCGAGTTTATTACAAGCCGATAAGACAGCTCGTAGACACGTTAGTTCACACTTCATACCGCCATGAGCACAATCACCCATGCGTGCAGGAAGCCAGTTGAATTTAATCTAGTTTATGCGTTTTTGAAAGTGAAGGCAATGGCATTTTACACAAGCAGACAACAACCGACACACACGAGAATCATTTATTATCCCATATCAATTTTTCCAACAGCGAGGCCAAGCGCTTAGAACTGGTTTTCACGGACACGATGGCACGTTTATATTTCCCTTGATTTTTCTTTCCCCACACCTCCATAAATCCAAGAATTCCGCTATTTTCTCACTAATCCCCACAAATAACAACAATAACAACAATAACAACAATAATTTCCAAGTGTTCATCAGCGACATTTCAAAACAGCTATTCCATTTGTTTTTATTCACAGCTGATTT